TAGATATGTATCGTCAGAAGATGCAAGAAAAAGGATGGGAAACAGGACAAGATGATGAAGAATTGTTGGAATATGCGATGCATCCTACTCAATATGAAGCATATAAGTCAGGTGATGCCAAAGCAAAATTCCTAGAAGATTTGGCCAAAAAACGTGCACCTGTACAAACAAACACACAAGCTTCTACACCATCCGTCATGCCATCACAAATAAATGTAGATGTTAACGGTGAAAAATATTTGGTCAAAATATCTTATCCAGATCAAAGTAGCGATAATCAAAAAGTAGATGCTATTGAGCAAAAACAAGTTCCCATGTCATCAAATGGTGTTGCAAAATATATCACATCACCATTGGAAGGTAAGTTTTTCCTGACAAAAGAATCTAGTGAAAAAGGTATCAAAGTAGGTGACGTCATCAAAAAAGGTGATACTGTAGCTTATGTAGAAGCCATGAAGGTAATCAATGCCATTTCTTCAGATGTGTCAGGTACCGTCGCTGAGATATTGGTCCAAACAGGTGCCGATGTAGAAGAAGATGAAAACATTATAAAAATAGTCTGACATGGAGATTTTAAAAGGTATTTATGATATGACTGCTTTTGGTGCGATAGGGCAAGATCCTTGGTCATTGCTAATGATTGCTTTAGCTATATTACTTTTGTATCTTGGAATAGGCAAAAAATTCGAACCCTTATTGCTTGTACCGATTGCATTTGGTGTATTGTTGGCCAATTTTCCAGGTGGGAATATGGGTGTCATCCCTTCTGACGAAACCAATGGCATCATGTATCTCACCATAATTCAAATAGCAAATGAATATGGTATCATGAATATGCTGTACTATCTTTTGATCAAAACAGGCTTATTGCCACCATTAATATTTATGGGTGTAGGCGCTCTTATTGATTTTGGGCCGATGCTTAGGAATCTTCGTTTAGCGTATTTTGGGGCAGCTGCACAAATAGGGATCTTTACCGTATTGATGGCTGCTACGGCATTAGGATTTACACTTAAAGAGTCTGCTGCCCTAGGTATTATTGGTGGTGCTGATGGCCCTACAGCCATTTACACAGCTATCGTTTTGGCTCCACATTTATTAGGTCCTATTGCAATTGCTGCTTATTCCTATATGGCTTTGGTTCCTGTGATTATTCCTTTGGTTGCAAACCTAACCATGTCTGAGAATGAATTTAGAATCAATATGAAGGAACAAGATAAATTGTATCCACCTACGCAAGTTTTTAAAAATCTTAAACTTTTAAAAATAGTTTTTCCCATCGTCTTGTGTATAATTGTCTCTTTGCTAGTGCCATCCGCAGTACCACTCGTTGGGATGCTGTTGTTTGGTAATTTGGTCAAAGAGATCGGCACAGACACACATAGACTTTTTTCGGCAGCATCGGAAACTATTCTAAATACAGCCACCATATTTTTGGGTTTGACAGTAGGAGCGACAATGACGTCAGCGACATTTCTACAGTCACAAACTTTGATGATAATCGTTGGTGGGTTTTTAGCTTTTTGTCTTTCAGTCGCAGGTGGAATTTATGCCGTTAAACTGTACAATATCTTTGCAAAGAAAAAAATTAATCCATTGATCGGTGCAACAGGGCTGAGTGCAGTCCCGATGTCTTCTAGAGTAGCAAATGAAATGGCGCTCAAATATGATCCGACCAATCATATTCTCCAATATGCTATGTCGAGCAATATCTCAGGCGTTATAGGTAGTGCTGTAGCAGCAGGCGTATTGATTTCTTTTTTGAAATAAATAAATTTAGAAAATTAAAATATAAATACATTGAATTCTTTAAAAAACATATCAGTTTTTTGTGGCTCATCTAGGGGGAATGGCGATTCCTTTATGGAAGGTGCCATAACAATGGCGGAGTTTCTCGCAGATCGTGGTGTAGCTATCGTATACGGTGGTGCCAAAGTAGGTCTCATGGGAGCTGTGGCAGATGCAGCACTTCGCAAAAATGGAAAGGTCATCGGTGTTATACCTGATTTTATAAAAAGTAAAGAGATTGCACATGAAGGATTAACCGAACTTATTACGGTGACATCGATGCAGGAAAGGAAAACAATTATGCATGAAAAATCAGATGGCGCCATCATCCTTCCAGGTGGATTCGGTACCTTAGATGAAATGTTCGAATTGCTTACATGGGGACAACTAGGTTTACATACCAAACCTATTGGTATTCTAAATATTGATGGATTTTATGATCATCTCATTAGTTGTATGGATAATATGGTGAGTAATGGGTTTTTGCGTGGATCTAATAGAGATATGTTGATCATAGAAAAAGATATCCATCAATTATTTGATGCTATGGTCAATTATGAGCCACCATTAAAACCCAAATGGATAGATTTAGACCAAGTGTAATGGATAATAGTAGGTGTAATCAGACAATCAAATTTTGATATAATAAACTTGATTGTCTGATTTTTACATATTATAATTATTTATCTATAACGTCTGGAGACATTAATCTAGGATATACATTATTAGTACGATCAGTATCTGCCATTCTTTGAGATGCGTCTATTTCGATCTTAACAATTTCTTTGGCAGCCATGTCTAGATTGATTTTATAAGTAGGATGCGTCCAAGGCCAATCTTTTAACACAGTGAATCCATCGTAAAATCTGTCACCTGTTTTTTCTCCTCTCATCATTTCTAGCGGAATATAATATTTGATGACTTCACCTTTATCGGTAGTAATGGTGATATCTAGTGGCATAGGCATTTTTCCTATTCTCTTCAGATATATGGCTTTGCCCCTTGCATCATCGACGGCATAATCAATGGTATGGGTAGAGTTGACAAAATATTCTTTAAACCAATCCAATTCAAGACCGCTTGTTTTTTCCATGACTCGGAAAAAGTCATTAGGATTGGGATGCTTAAACTTCCAAGTGCTATAATAAGCCAACATACCTTTGTCAAAGGCAGACTCACCGATGATATATCTCAACTGCTCCAATAGTACTTCACCTTTGGTATAAGATGCAACTCCATAGGCTGTATTGGTTATAAAGTGATCCGCATGCGTGATAAGTGGCTCTTCTTTACCGCTTAATGCAAAATTTGCATAA